TCGAAGTCTCGTCATCGATGTTACACAAGCAAAAATTTACTATGAACAACATCGGGGGGGACATGTCCCATGACTATAATACTAAACACTGGTATCCGTGTACTACCTACAAAATATAGCAATATGGTGTGATAGCTAACAACAAAATATCACATCCCAATAAAATATTGTGCGAGGTCGTACATGCAGGGGATTGCAAAAACGTCATTTATAAGATCGATTTGTATTTAGTACATCAGTCTATGATGTTAATATATTAGCAATACAAGAAATACTCGTGGTTCCAAGAAATGCTACCAATGGAACATCAGAGCATCTCAATTTGGAAAGACTTAATCTAAAGAATGCTGATTAGTGAACATTTTCCCGCCATTCAGTCAGATACATTTAAAAATCCCATCATCACCGGACATTCGACTCGCGTGATTCTATGAGCTCCACCAAACGTTCTTTGCGATCTTATTTTAAGATCAAGGTACAGTCTCCTTAGCGAAGTTACATACTAACAATTCAGTTGACAAATGACGAAATTAGCCAAGCGAAAAATACATTGACACAATATTCAAGCCCAATAACTCTTACCTTAGGATCTCTAGATCCCGCCTCACATATCTTCTCAATCCAAGTCTTAACCAAGTTCATCCTATCCACTTTGCCTCTCTTACTTAACAGTGCCGCCAAGTCTTCTGAGAAAAATTCGCACAGCAGCTTTACAACCAGTTGGTGTGTATATCCGCTCCATTTAGAAATAGGGACAAGAAAGTCATCTACTAGCTTGACATAACTTTGGTGCAATACCAAGCGAGGACGATATGTCCTTATAAGGATAGATATAAAGGTCTGTATAAGCGATTCGTAACTTTCGTGATAAGCGACATTCGGATTGTCTGCTGGTGGCAGTGTTTCCTTAATATATGGAATCACCCGTCGAACTGTCATTATATCTCCTTTCTCGAGTCGTTCTATTACATACTGACTAAATATCTATTAAATAATGGTAAACGTTACCAGAAGATGTGGAATTCCAATAATTATGTGAATGTTCATAAATAATGTTAACTTAAAACCTTGCCATATCCAACTAACCTTTCGACACACTTCGCTTTCTCGCAAAGATGTAAGCTCTTTCTCTTCCCATTGAGTCGCCACTTTGTCAGACGTCGCCTCATACCTATCCGCTGTCTTTGCATCGTCAAGCATTAATGTCAACAATCGATAATAGAAATAATTGTATATTTCACCGGCATCTACTTGGGGCATGTTGAAGTCTCTAGCACGAAACATTCTGTGAGCCTCACATCCAATATTTAGTATCTCTGTGGCCCAGACGACATTAGCATCACGCTAAACAGAAACACAAAATAAGAGTCAATATATATGGACGAATGAACTGGTCACACTTTGAATGACTTGGATGACTATTGGAAAAACAAGTACTTGAGGCTCGTCGGGATTGGCAGCTAGGTCTCTCAAACGGCTATATACACGAGTTGCAAGTACGTTGGCAACTAAGGGATCTTGGAAAATCATTGCGATGTCTCTAAATTCAACCGACCGTTAGTGGATATTCGTAAATAAATAAATTAAACCATCATATTCATAATTGATTAAATACCCAAATTCCTTTGAACTGTTTCGCTTGTATTTCGCTAAAGATGCTTGTATAGAATTAACCCGTGTTTCATCATCAAAGCCTTTTCTTAATCCATCGTTGATAAACCAAATTAATTCAAACGATGGGTCTCTCTTGCACATCTACAAGTATTTAAGACTGGGTCATGAGAATTCACGACAAAATGTAATCGTATAGTCGATAAATGATATCACTCATATGCTGTGGTCATGATAATCGCGCTTACCTGAATCTTCCCAGCAGATTGCATTGCCATAAAAAAATCGAATCGAAACGAACATATTGACGGCCACCCCAACATTGTAAACAGCTCTCTAAATACTCTCTGAACATCATCAAAGAGCTCAACACTGTCATTAACAATTTCCACAACTTCCTGAACAAACTTGTGATTCTTTCTATACTCGAAATAAAATTTTTATGTTTGAATGCATTTCAAATTCTTGGTATGTTAAGCGACCGAGGCAAATTTGGGGAAAGCAAACCTTGCATCTAAAACCTCCACTACCACGGCACCTCGTATTTCTCGTGCCATCTGTCGTAATTGAAGATCTTTTTGATACTCGGCCACTCTGGAACCGATCACGTCTTTAAACATATTCTTATCTCGCACAAAAAAGCCGCGTTTGACTTCCAATGGAGCCTCACGCAGTACAAAGTGGTTATGAGATAGGATTTCATAGAGTTGTGAATTTATTCGATCTGGGTACTTTGCAAGCAGAGCGAGTATGGCAGCACGCAGCTGCTTTATATGGATCATTGGCAAAGTTTTGCGCAAAAAGTCATCGTATCTATCGATTATGGGTAAAGTCGATAAATAAAGTTCTTGTTGGAAAAACAATTGAATACTTATCATAAATTCAGAGACTGACTTGGTAGAATCACCTCTTCTGATCCCACGGTTCCCTCTCTATTTTCTTTATCATTTCATTAGACAGAGCATTCAATATCCCAATGTGAATAGCGTGCCTCGACATTCCTGATTGTTCAAGCAGAGGGTAAATTGCCTACAGACAAGAAGCTGTGATCAGCAAAAGTGTCACGAGACAAGTAATGTAGAGTGGTCTTCCAAATACTCTACGTTCACGTCAACGTCTTCCAGCGCAAGACCATAACGTTCTTGAAAGTTTGATATAACTATTGCAGGCTCATTGTTCGAAAGCTGCTGATGGAGGTACTCGCTGCCCTGGCTTCCAATTAGATATTTGCCATCCATCACGTTTAGGCGTTAACGAAAGGTGTAGAGAAATAGACTGTGATTATATTGACTGCCCAGTGATTGGTAGATTTTGCGCCAATAGTAAATCAGTTCGCAAAGCGCGTATGTCCTTAAGATGGCTAAATAAGACTTTCGGGCATTATATATTTACAACAGAATGCTATAATAATAAGCTTTATTCATACAGAAAAATTTAAAAGACTATGCAATCGTAAATTATGTATCCGTATCTTGGTCGTTCTACGCATCTTTCGCTATGTTACGGATTAATATTAATATTGATGTGAGATATCATTTGTCATTAGTATTTATCATAATTAACAAGAAAGATAACTTTTGTTAGATACTGAAAGGAATGTATGTGGACAATACTAAACTTGTTCAATAAATATGCATTGTACTATGATCTTTACAAGTATTTTGACTAAAGTCTCGTAGAACTTGTGTCCCACGAAATTCAAGAAAGTTTATTATGCTAGATGTGATAATTAATGAGCCGACGGAAAAACTCGGTTTTGAAACATATAATAATATTCGCACCATAGCTTCTCTCGTGGGAAGTCATTTGCTAGAAAATATTAAAATTCGCCTTCTGCCAAACACTGGTAATATATTCCAGACGCCGTAAGATTAAGTACGCTTTATTCCAGGTCTTGCCGAAGGGGAAGAAAAAGTCAGTAATTAACCTTGATAATTAGTAGAAAAGAGAGTTGGAACTTTGGACAACGGTTGCATTAACTACCTGCGATAGTAGTTTAACCAACATTCTTGTAAGTGCAATTGTCGAATAAAATGTCAAGTTGATAAACAGGGTTGACATCGCAACCGATAATTCACGTATCCATAATACATGAATCGATCAATAATAAATCAAGAGTAATTATGACATGAAAGGGAAATAAAGAAAATAAAAGAGCGTGTATAATAGGGTTAGGGTTGCCGTGTTGTGATTAGGTGAGGATTATAATCAACATATAAGTGAAAGTATGCATAACTGGAGATTGTTCGTTGTAATAAAGATATGCTGAATGGTGATGGCTCAATGATGCTTTTTATTGACTACAATGAAAAAATACAGAATAAACGAATTGGCGAGCGAGATTTTCTGCAAAATATTAAATGCAGAGCCTTTAGCAATCGAAATTTGTTAGATGAAACAGTACTGTTGCCTTTAATCTTAAATTGCTAAAGGTACTAATTCAGCCATGGTGTTGACAATATATAATACGGGAAGAACTACTAGAACGAACTAACAATGATGTTACAGATGGTACCTTTTAATAGCTTTAAATTTCATAAATTGCTAATAGATTTATACTTACAAGAGAGTTCAAATTACGTTAGCGTAGTCTCGAGTCTTTCATTCTATAGCGCGATTTAACGCTCCTGCCTGCTAACCAATAGACTCGGCTCTGACGCTGATTGGTCGATCTGTCTTTTACACATAAAAAGGCGTTGATCGCACCATCGATCCCAAGCTCTCTTTCAAAATGGCAAAGTGCATCTTTTGTAAAATTATTAAACGCGAGATGCCCTCGTATAAACTACTCGAAACGGAGCATTCGTAGGTATCATAGATAAAATGTCATTATTTATCGACATATTTTCCAATTCTTTTATCTCCCTCCAGTTATGCTTTCTTGGACATTTTCCCACTGTCGAAGGGACATTCGGTGAGTTATTAGATTCTTGTATTTTATATAGGAGAGGATTATTTTGGTGTACATGCAGCTAACTATATAGTTTGTTGTTATGTTGCAGCTTGTGATTCCCAAAAGTAGGCACAATTAGACGAAAAGAGCCAAGGGAAAGACAGAGTGTATCTAGCAGTTGCAATATTAACAGTTTATCGATGATGACGATCCAGCAAGTTAACTAGTCTATTTACGTTGACGTTTGGGAAACGACAGGTCATGCAGAATTCTTCCATGAATTGTCTGATGAAAGCGTAGCTGATTTGTCGCAAGTTACAAAGAAGGTTGCAAATGCGGTTATTGCCGCAACTGGAGAAACACAGTATAATATACTTCAGGTTTTATTGATAAACTTATTTCTTAGATTTTGAGAACTGTGTCTTTTTCTTTTGATCTGAGTCTATTGACACTTGTTTAGAATAACGGAGCACGTGCACATCAGGTTGTGAAGCATGTTCATTTTCATATAGTATGTATTTGCATCGTAAGCGATATCTTTGTGTGATATGTATTTTTGTATCGGTTTGTATTCTAATGCTTTGGTATGTTTCAGATTCCGAAACCTGAGGCAGACAGTCAGCAAGGGTTAATGATAGAGTGGCCTTCTGCAAAGGCAACTGAAGACGAGTTAAAAGACCTCAGCGCCAAGGTATTGGAGAAATTATGAGCACGGATTGTTGTATCTGTCACAACTGAATGGAAGTCTTTTTTTGAGTTATTTCGATGATGACATTCCAATGCATAAGACTTGCCAATAAAAATATTTGAAAAGCTATCTTTAGATAGGATACGTGGTTTTTATTACAATGTCACCCGTTATAACCATGCTTATTATGCGTGTTGCAGTCGTGTTGAGACCTAAAACATATACACAGAGGCGAAAATAAGTGCTGTAAATCTTATCCCGCAGATGAACGCGATTCGATAAATACATCAAACAAGCTTAACGTTCTAAATTTCATGCACTATTACGAGGAAACCTCGCAATGCGTTGAGAAGACGTTTTCTTTTCCGTTGTTCAATTATTGATATTTAATTACATCACCGACAGTAGGAATAAGGTCAAGAACGTATACATACATAGCATTAACCCTGCTCAAATCCACCATGGGACCAAAGAATTACAGCACAATCAAAAGCATTTTAAAGAGTATCTAGACAAAAAAAATACCTATTACTATTACTATAAACTATCAAGAGTTTTCAAATGAGTGCTAGAAAATTCTCAAAAAAAAAGTCCCAAATAAATAAGTTAATTTTAATCAAATAAATAATGCTATTATCAATGTCAAGCTTGTGCATATTAAAAATATTTGTTTATTTTCATTTACATGTACCCTCCAAAAAGTCACGGAGTAACACAAAAATTTGCGAAACATACCATGAATCGTGCATATGTAAACGTAAAATTTTAGTAACATAACTGTATTTCATGTATTAATTAAACTTGTTCGCAGTATCGTTTTACATATATTTAGTACATCTTATAAATATCTTCTACCTTCCTTTCTTGATTATTTCTCCGACACAGAAGGACCAATAAAACAATTTCTTATTCAAAATGAACTATACTATACATTTTCCCAGCCTATGCGCTTGCTCTACCTTATTAAGTACACAGGTGTCCCAAACCGATGACTACGTATCTTCCATTTCCACAAATATTTCTTATAATGATTCCAATAATCAAATTTCCCTCTCACAACGATTCCTCTATATTTTGCTACTAACACATAAAGTCTTATCCCAATCTCTTCCGCTAAATACTCTTATGTCTTTTGCTGCACAACCAAAATGATACTGTTCACATTTAAACTATTTAGCTCATCGCTCTCCTAACTTATCAAGCATACCAACATAGTAAAAAATTACGTAAAAATTAATTTGAACTTATACCATATTTCTATTTTTTTGTAAATATTCTTGTACCAGAAAAATACAAAGAAAAAAAATTACTATTTATTTTGATGCACCAAATCTAATGATTCCATTGGCTTTTGCTATGCTTACACTTTAATATAATAGTGATACTAAAAAATGTGCCGTTTTGTTCTCTCTCTATAAATGAGGCAGATATTCTCCCTTCACGCTGTACATCTGAAAAATATAATTTTTCATCATACTAGATCTCTTTCCTAATAACAAAAAAACATGTTCATCCACTCGATTCCAATGGTAGATCCTTAAACTTTGCAAGCGAATCCATTACCATTCACTTTGATGTCTACATACCAAAAAATAACCCTAACTAGTTCATGGTTGATGACATCCTTGAATTAGCTGGCAACTGTCACAAAACTAGAAGACATGCCACTACATACAGTACGTATAAATTAGGTTACATTTTTCAATTAAACAGTCATGTAACATCTATTATTTCCACTCTACAACAAATGTCAGAAGTCTGCAACAAATGTACCCCTTGCTCAAACTTGGCATAATCAAATCTCCAGCTTATTCCCCATCCAAACATCAGATAAAACTAACAGCAAAAATTTTGTAATGACATATTCGTTAATTATTCCCTCCTTTATCTGCTGGAGTATAACCTGGTGCAAATGTGTATTTTTATCATATGTGCCCCTTCTCAACAAACGTAGTTATGATAGTTTTGCTTCTCTGAAAAGGCAATATGTATCTGTGACAATGAACGTAATTTGAAATAATGAGCCCGCGACGATTAGGTAATAGAAATCGAACATGTGGACTTCAGCATCACAATAAATATATACTGTATAAAATTAAACGTATTCACAAGTGACACTTCTTAACAGCCACAGGGGCGAAGCCCCCTATAAAATTTTAAATCTAGTTAACAAAGGAATGAGTAAACAGTATCATCAGAATCACGGACCAATGAAGGACGTGCATGTCAAGCGGCAACCACCCGTGCTTGTTCGATGACTTCACATCATCGTCCCATGTACCTACCGCCTGAACGCGCCGTGAGCACAGACGACCCTTCGGAGCGGATATCGAACGTTCACAGCAAGTAAATCATTTAACGATCAGGCCCCCAACTACTTTTCGTGTGTATCCTATTCACCACAAAAGCTCACGCTTTTTTGTCGGTAACGGTTTTCGATTAATTTGCACTCCGCGTGCTCCGAAAACTACGATTTACACCTAGTGGCAGCGTCCCTTCAGATACACACATACTAAGTACCCTCACGACAAACAATTACAAGTGTGGCCACGAGATAGGATAGGCCCGCTCTTTTTTTTCGTTGAATCGAACCACCAACAATTCCATTATTGATATTATTATTGTCATTATTATTGTCATCTTTGTGATCATTGTTATTGTTATGATCGTAATAATTATGTATAGATGATGGTGATGGTGATGTTGGCGATAATGATGATGCTACTAGTGGCGATGATGATGATGCTAATGGCGATGATTTTGCTGATAATAATGTCTTATTTCTTTTAATAGCTTTATCCCACAAACCATTTACTTTTTTTATCTCAGCCTATAAAAAGCAAAGCCAGATGAGAAATATTTCCCAGTAAACACAATAATGCAAAAAATAAGACTATATGGCGGTGCAGGAGTACATAAATAAAGATACATAGTTGAATCCTCCTTTAGAATCAACAGATCGTTACTAAATATATTCCATGGTGTTTGCCAGTACGTGTCCAACAAACGCATCCATCTTCAGTGCTTGTATGATTCCTACCAGTACGTGTCCAATAGGTACAAAACACCTGGCTATAAAGCCCCATCACATCTTATTAATTATATTTATTATGCTTACCTTTTTATTATTTATGAGTTTTTGAGCGATATCTCGAATTTCTTGCGACATACACAAATTATTAATAATATTTTGCAGAGTAAGGAATGTGCTGTATCTTTGTCAGAGAACTTATAATTATCAATTATGAGAGAGACGTAGTTGTGAAGAGACCACGGAGAGCTTTCAAGATTATCCGCCTTTTATACCTAGTGGTCGGCTACAGACCCTCAACAGATTTGCCCAGTAAGAATTCTTACCTCGAAAACACCCTCGCGTCAGTGTGGGCCATCTGTTTCCTCGAGCTTTGATGTCGGTTTGAGTAAACGATCTAGTTAATAACAAATGACATAAAGTAGTTAATGTAATATGCAATTTCTCGTAAGGTACTGCAATGGGTAGTGTAATTGTTTACATATTACTGATAGCCAAGACAGTTGGTATTTGCGTAAACTCTTGGTAGTAGCAAGTCGTATTTCAAAGCATATAAGGTGGTCCGCTAACAGATTTCGCATTTCCCTCCCGCTTTACCCCTATGCGTATATGTATGTCATACTTACAGGATCTTCTTTCATCTCTCCAAAACGGTTGCTGTAAAACGAAGTGACCCCCAAAGTGTAATCCAGCATGAACTCGAAGAACGTAAAACGTATAGTATAAATCAAATACTAGGGGAAATGAAATATGCATTAAATCGATTGTAGCGAAGAGTAAGACGCATATCAAACGATAAACAAAAGCATACACATAATAATTAAAAAAGTAGTTCACGAATAGAACTCTATTACTATTAGTATGGCCATACCAGCATCTAGTTGTAACCCGAAGAAACTTTTATTTTTTACATACTAACCTCTTTAACGGGGCCAGACACTGTCCTGGCGTACATGATGGTGGTGGCGACGTCCTCGTCTGCTGATGTTGCGTCTTCGTCTGCCGGCGGCGGCAACATCTCTCGCGGACGTGTGCAGTGGCCCCTTTTCTGCTGCTACTTCTTGTTCGTATCGGTTGTGGTGTGGTTGCTGTTTGCGTCGCGCGCGCGCGCGCGTTTTTTACTATTTTTTTTTTTTTTTTTTCATGCACGTGGAATACTAGTCAAATTAGTCATAATATGTACTATAATAAGTGTTATATTTGAAGAATCGAAATTCAAATTGTACATAATATTCTGTGTCAATTTTTTGCACACACGTTTGTAACCGTTACGTTAAACAAACATGTAAATTATAAGGCATTGGATTCTTGGTTGTTGAGTTAGTGATGATTGACGATGAAAATTGATTTCGCGTACGGTATTTGAAGAATCAAGCCAACCGGTATATCGAAATTCAATTTGTACATAATATTCTTTGTCAATTTTTTGCACACATGTTTGTAACAGTTACGTTTAACAAACTGTAAATTATAAGAGCATTGGATTGAATCAGTGATGATTGACGATGAAAATTGATTTCGCGTATTTGAAAAATCAAGCCAACCTTGGGATGAACAATAGGACAAATCCCGGTTTATTTTATTCGAAAATGACGGTCAGCAATGGGTTTGGCGTAGTAATATTGGTACAGTTTCAAAAATCGCCAAAAATGAGGAGAAATCTAATCTGCGAGTTACATCATTTCGGCAGACTAATCTCGAATTGTTTTTCAACTAATGCTCTTGATAAAGAATTCCAGTAAACGGTTTTTGAGTATTTACCGCTTTTTGCAATACCTGTATTACTTTCTTTTCAGGTCTGTTTTTCTGTCACTGAGCGGAAATCACGGAGGAATACGTCGTAATTAGGCGTCGATCTTGACACGGCCTTGAGCTGTAAAATATCTCCTGTTAAAGTTTGATTATCAAACGCTTGCGGAAATAATGGGCTACGACTACTCATTCTATTGAACTCTTTTGACTCTGAGTTGACAGCCAACCACTTTTCCTTATTTTTCCAGATATCAGAAATTGTATTTTGTTTAACCCCGGCAAGCTCTCCCTGAGAAGGTTTGGGCTTACTAGAGAGTTTAACACACATCCTTTTTTTGTGCAAAAGTCAAGCGTGTTCTCAAACGTTTGTTGGGTTTTCGCTGGTAGTTCATTTATTGAGTAACATTTGTTTAATATTAGACATTGAAAATCTGAAATTCGGGAAATGAATATTATTATACATATAGTCCGGTGCAAAAATGTAGATACCTCAGTTTTTTTTAATTCTGATTAGATAAATCAATTCTTCAGTCAAGAGGAACCATTTGATATCAATTTTATTAAAAGTTGATTCTCTAAAGAAAAATTATTGTCTATTTCACAGCCATTATCTACTTCTTCATCAACTAAAAAAGAATTATCATCAGAATTTGCATAATCTTTTGCCATCCTAATGGTTTTTCTCCATAATCCAGTAATAACCTGTGAGTTTACCTTGTAAATTAGCAAGCCGATGTCGAAGATATTGACAGCGAAATATAACGTTATTTGGTGACTCGTGTAAAAATATTCCTTCTTTCGCCCCGGCCAAAGTAGTAACGAAGAAACTGTCGTATCACCGCCGTAGATAGGGTCGTCCTGTTTTATTTGATTCTACGATTATTGCACGGTGATATTAGAGTCTGGTCACCTCCGGTCGGCTTATGTGGTGTAAAAGATCCGTCATTACATTTGTTCCAATCTTGAATAACCCTCCCAACAGTACTTTCTAAAATGCTCAATACCACAGCAATACGCTTGCGTAGTGTGAGCTTCTGATTACGTTGTAGCATCAGAAAAATATTTATAAGCACTAACGATCCTTTTTTTTTCATTCCCGTCAAGGGCGAATGATAGATATAGCATTACTTTAAAAATTTGACGTCAATCGATTTGATGAGACGAAACTTTGCTGGTAGCCATTGAAACCTCTTATATACATTTATGCACCTGACCATATACTGTTATAGGATTTGCCAGGAGCAACATAGATGCCACTTATTCACTATATTGAAAATTTTCGATATCGTTGACTTCATTATATCGAGGTTTGACTGTAGTAGCGTTTTACGCAGTCTGGTAGTACAAATGTCACTCAGTGTATTATCCCTGTGCTACTGTTACATACTGCGCTTCAAGAATGCACTATTACTATAAATTTTTTGTCAATAATATACTAATACCAAGTCATCGGCAAACAATGTTTCGACAAAAACTTGATCAATTATTAAAGATTGACACAGATGATGCGCTTGAATTAAGGTATAGAGGAGCGGAATATCTTATGCTTGATCAATATGAGAGTGCTTTGAAAGATCTTAGGAAATCTTTGGAATATGAACAAAATAATAGGTTAGCATTAAGATTAATAGTAGAGACCTACTGCATGCTTAATGCATTAAGCTATTTTGATGAATCAATAGACATTGAACCTGATGGTGCAATTGCATTAAGAACAAGAGTAGAAGTCTATCTCAAGCTTAAGCTGTATGACAATGCATTAAATGGGGCATGCTGCAACAAAACCAGACAAAGTGAACATTCTGAAACAAGAGGCTGGTGTGGCTGAAAGTTAACTAATAGCATTTTGAAAAGTAAGCTCATTCATAACTTAATTTTAATGTTCCCTTTATCATACCAGAATGTGATGAATATAAACCATAACAGGATTAATATAGGATTATCTTTATATAAAAGTATTAATATGAAACTAATTTACATTACATCCATCATGGAACCCAAGAATTACTATTACAGCACAATTAGAAGTGTTTTAAAGGAGAAAAAATTGCCCCTTACATTTCTAAAATTAATGATACCCAAACTCTCCAGGAATATCTAGATAAAGAAAAGTTTACTTATGAAATTTAAATTACTTCTTTACTTTGAATCAAGATCATCTCTTATTTTCTTTAACTTCAATTTGAGCAACTTGACCATTTTGTTGCTCCTTTAATTGTTTATTTTCTTCTTTTAACTTAGCATTCTCTGCTTCTAGTTCTTTAATCTGCTTGATTTTTTCATCACCTCATTCTTTGGATTTCTCATGAAATTTAACTACTTCTTCCCTTTCAATATTTAATTCTTCTTTGGTGGTGGATAATTCTTTCTCTAGTTCTCTAGTTTTCTTTTCCAAACGATAACCAAAAGTTCTAGATGTTATTTCTTCCATAGAAAGTGATTGTATTGGTTTATTCTCTAACAGATTACAAAAGCAGCCTTTCCTATTTCTCTTTAGTCTACCACAAAGTTCACAGTAAGGAAGAATATCATTTTCAAAATCCTTTTTACAATCAGCACAAATATAAGCTATATCAGCATAATCATCATTATCTTTGAATGCTGCTACTTGGTGAGTAGCAATGTTGAGAGTAAGATTGTCTTTAAAACGAAAATCTTGAAAACTGAATGAGCAATAATTACAATCTTGTTTATCTCCTTCTGCTACCTCAAGAATCCTATATTCCAACTTCATAATTATTGTTTCAAAACATGTGTTTTGAATTGTTGTAAAATGTAGGCTTGGAACTTTTGCTCTTTTCCCTTAATGCTTTCTTTAATTACATTAACTTTTGTGCTAATTTTTTCCTTAGTTTTATTTGCTAACTTTCAGAGTTGTTGGAACTTCGTAGGTTCTGTTAATTTGGATATTTTCTCATCTCTGGCATCTAAATCCTTTCTCAATTTTTCTATTGTCTGTTGCTGGCTAAATATAAAAACATCCTTCTGCATAGCTATTACAAAGTTTTTTCGCTCATGCCATTCCTCAGCTTTATCTAGTGCTTTCATAGACATTTCCTGTTCTATTTCTACTCTCTCTTCCAATTCTTCTATTCTGTTATCTTTTTCTTCTAACTTTACTTCCAATTGCTTATTTATTTCAAGCAATTCATTTCTCTCTTTCTCTAAACTGGTTGTTAAGGATTGTAAACTTTTAACTTCTTTATCAGCTTTTTTGTATCCATCAAGTGCAATCTTATGCAGGTAAATAAGACGAACAAAACTTTTTCTAAATTCTTTGTCTTCTAAATGTTTCAAGGCATAAGGGCGAAGTCAAAAATAGTCTATAACTGCCCCTATCTCTGCCTCACTTGGATTTCTATTTAAACTGCCAATTAGTTCTTTTATTTCCTCTTTGGTTAAAATATTGTTTTGGTTTGTCATGATTTTAATTTCTATATTATTATTTTAATATTAAAAGCATTAAATATAAAGAATTTAATAGTAACAGAAACAAACAAAACTAATAAAGTAATAAAATTTGCAGTTGACTGTAATATTTTTATTCATTCTCAGTATAGATTGGTTTGGGACAAGTAATATCCTTGAATTCATCTCTAACAAATGGGCAAATATTATGATAAAGATATTCTTGTCTTTTGTAATCCAAAGAAGGCGGAGTTAAAACTAGGATGGAAAATGATTTAATCTCTTTGGTAATATCAGAAACACTTGCTTTTCTGGTTTTCAATAAATTAAATTCCGTATAAGTACCATTAGCAACCAGCTGGGTTTTGACAATACCAGGTTTGGCTGCTTCGAATACAAAATGCTGATATTTTTGTAAACCGTTTAGTTTTTTAAAGAAAATTCCTAACACAGAATTAAGATCTAAATATTGAAAGCCTTTTCCGCTGTCATAACGCTGGGCTTTATTTAATCCGGCTGTACTTGATCTTTTCACAACCTCAAC